TAGTATATGTTGGTATCATTTTGTAAATCTAATAAGGTTCAGTCCAACATCTTGGATACTAAACTAAAAAGGCATATCTGCCTTTTAAGCACTTAGCTTAGTTTACTTTGCCATAACCAAATAATTCAGTTCAAGTTGTTACAGTTAATCTAACGTATAGTTAGTTAATTTTACTGAGTACTAATTCAAAAAGGTTATCTAATATGCACGCACTAAAACAAAATCATCGGACATTTCAAATCATTTTACAGAAATTTTCATCAAAGTCTGTATGTCATTCATGTTAATCAGAAAGGATACTGAGTGTGAGCAATAATTTTGTTTGTCTCGGGTTATATGAAGTAAATCGGGATTTGCATACCCCGATATTTTCGGCTAGGTTATTTAACTATTTGAGTATGGAAAAGCACAATCGGCCTGGAAGAGAGACATACTTCCGTGGAGGTCTTTCTTGGGAAAGCTGGCTGGTATTCACGTTATGCATGGGAAAAAATTACGACACTGTTGTAGTCAGCCCGTTCACATGAGTTGGAAATCGGAACGAACTGCCAGTATTCAACATTCTTTAATTGCTCGGCCATTGGTGAGACCTATTACCTTCGAATGGACAAACTGGTGATTTCCTTTTAAGACATCAGGGTACTTACGTATTAACGCCACCGCAACAGAAGTTGCGCTGATGCGCCAATAAAGAAGAATCCCGTTGTTTTGCACGAAGTTATCTTTTGGATTCCTTTTTGCCTTGTTGTTTGCTGATTTTTGACGCCATTTTAGTGCTACGAAAATGCGTCTTTGGGATTTGCCAAACTCAGAAGAAGATGCAATCTTATTTTTTCAGGAACGAAATATTTTACAAAAAAAAAAAAAAAAAAAAAAAAAAAAAAAAAAAAAAAAAAAAACCGAAAATGTACCAAGTCTTATGATACGAAACTTTATTTTCGTAAACGTATGTTTTGGAAATGTAATTTAAGGCAGTGTGATCAGCAAATGGGATTTAGAAAAGAGAACTGGTTTGAATGAAGCAGAATTCCATTTTGTTCAGCTTTGAGATTCATATACAACACTGACGAATAAAAATATTGCACTGAACAAACGTCGATTAAATTTTGATACTTGATTTATCGACAAAATAAAGCAACTTGATTTATCGGATAAAACTGTTATAGATTGGAACAATTACATGCGTGAATTATGTGTCTTGGATATGGAGAGTAAACCAAACAAGAAGGTAGGTGGACCAGATTGCATTGTGGAAATTGATGGATGAAAGTTTGTTTACTAAGCGTGAAAATAATTGTGGTCGAGTATCATCCGAACAGTGGGTGTTTGGTGATATATGTAGAGAAACAAAAGATTCGTTTGCTGTCAGTGTTCCTAACAAAACTGGCTCTACCCTTCTTGATAAAATTATTGAAAACATTGCAGATGGTAGCACAAAAATTTATTCGGACAGTTAGAAAGGTTACTAAACAAATAGAATAGAAAAAGAAGGATTCCTACATGCTAAAGTCAATCATAAATACAATTTTATTGATCCTGATACAGAAGTTCATACACAAACACTTGAGAGAATGTGGAGCAATGCTAAATGGAGGAACAAGAGATATAAGGGGATGGCGAGACATCATTTAGAATCTTATTTAGCAGAGTTCATATGGCGACAGCATCAGGTCAAAGAAAATAAAGACTCTTTTGAATCTATGCTAAACTCTATATCGGCCCATTTTCCATCGAATCCCCATTTTCCTCCGAATCCGATTACTTTGATTTTTAAATATTTTTTTTTTTATGATTTGTCTCCCCGCCAAAATTTTAGGTGTAGATTGGCGGCACTTAAAAACTGTCAAATCTGCATCTGCGGTGATGTTAATACGTAAGTACCGACATCAGTTTTACCAGCAATTTCAGCAAGGAAACTCAGCTCACAGAAGGGTTTTTTTAGTCATTGGACCGTTCATTCTGAGAAAACCTAACGCCAGTAAAAAGGAAACTCCCGAAAAATGAGAGCAGAACAACAGAGGAACAGACGCAAAACCGCTAAACACCGGTAAGTTGACTAGGCTTCAGATCTTGGAAACGGGCTGGCTGCATGGGTGTTTTTGTGCCCCCCCCCGTGTAACAACAATAAGAGCCAGCTTTCTTCAGTAATTCCTAGGCATCCTTTCTCTTAGGCAGATAGCCGAGCGTGCTTTGATATAATTTAAATAATCCAATCCAGAAATAGAAGTTGTGAAAAGTGTTTACAAGCAAACGGCATAGAAAGCGTTTCCAAAGTGTGAATTGGAAAAAAAGAGACATTTTCTGATACAGTGCATATTTTAGGTACAGAATTTTCATGCAATTCGATGATTTAATCCACAACTGCAACATAAATTTTGAGTTTTCTTCCCCGTACTGCCCTACGGATAGCCAATAACAAACTGCAAAACGTATTAGTTGAAATCGAAAACTCGTCTATGCATTATGCATTCGTCGTAATTTATATTAGAAAATAGTCTTCTTTTAGTCTTCTGAGAAAATGAAAACAAATGAAAGACTATTTTCAGCTTCACGGTGAAATAAATTTATTACAATTTCCTGGCTGTTGCATTTTCCTAAATTTTCCTCATTGTCCATTTTAAGCCTTTCTTTACGTTTTCAGCTGATGATCTCAAAAGTTTTCAAAAGCCGATACATTTTGAAAGATTTAAAAAGTTAATAATAATAAAATTTAAAAAAAAAATATCTGAAAGCTTTCAGATTTTATATTACTCTCAAAGGTACGTTTTTTTCATGCGGGATTTGAAAAGTGATACAGACATTAGAGATTGTAATGTCGAAGTTATTCGACGCAAAATGCCATTAGAGATTGTAATGTCTTTGCGCTGCTACGCTACCAACATAATACCAATAAGAAATGTAAAGAAACCTCACGTATAAAATATCCGTCCTGGAAGATTCACGCGACGATAATGTTAAGGGGGCTCTACACCTTAAACCCCTTATGATCTTTGGTTGTTGCAAGACTTGGGATATTTTATTTATTTCAAAAGTAATTACTTCCAACTTTTTACAGCTGAATACATAATATAGCTGCTTTGGGAACTATTAACCAGAAAGTTTGTGTTGCCACAAATATTTTTGTAATTTAATCCGCTTTGTGACAAAATTTTTGGCCAAGTTTCCACCTTGCGCGCATGATATTTTAAAAATGGCTAATGGTACATATTTGAAATTGGATGGAATTCTTTGAATTGGATGAACTCCAACTAAAATAAAAATTTAACATGAAATTCTTAGAATTTTTGGTTCACGGTAACTTCCAAATGTTATAAAAGCTATATATTAAATATGAAATTAAATTATGCAACAGAATATTTTAAAATGTGCGTGCAGCGTGAAAACATGACGAACAATTTTGTCACAAATCGGATTAAATTATAAAAATATTTTTAGCAATACAAACTTTCTGATTATTATTTCAGAAAGTTGCTATATTATGTAGTCAGCTGTAAAAAGTTGGAAGTAATTGCTTTTAAAATAAATAAAATATTCCAATTCTTTTAACAGTCACATATTTGAAGATCATAAGGGGTTTAAGGTGTATCAGCCCGTGGTTATCTGAATAAAAATTAGTTTTCTTCCGAAGAATAACCACAAATGTGACTTCCCGAAGTGGATAGCCTCGCATGCTTTGGCATTTCAGTTATTTATTTTGTTTGTCATTTTTAGACATTTAAAAGCATACCTCAGTTTCATTTTTAATCTTTACAATTATTGTTTTTTATTAATTGCTAAAATCATTACATTAAAAATTTATAGGACAAATGAACATAAACGTTTTTGGGAAATGTTTATAATGAGAAACAAGGTATTCACTAAATATAGCAGTTTACTTTCTTTTGGGAAACAATTCTATTTTTGTAATTAGTAAATTAATCCCATGGAAAATCCATTAATCCGATGGAAAACAAAAATTAGGAATTGGCGAAATGTAAGTAAAACTTGCATTAATCCAAGAAAGTCAGTACCACTTTCTTTGTGGGCGGAACTAATATCGTCTTTGCAATATGATGGTATTGAAGGTCAAGTAGTATCTTCTTTGCAGCATTATAATTTCGGATGTCGAAGATACAGTATTTTGCGCCTTTAAACTTTAAACTAAAAGCTACATATGTCAATTTTAGTTCCCTTTCCAGTCAAGTTCATTTGGCACTTGCATTTAAGGGGACTCATACACCTTAAAACCCATTAGATGTTCGAATAGGTGACTGTCGCAAGACTTGGGATAACTTATTTATTTTAAACGCAATTACTACCAACATTTTACAGCTGACTGCATAATATAGCTGCTTTCTGAAATAGTAATCAGAAAGTTTGTGTTGCCACAAATATTTTTATAATTTAATCCGCTTGTGACAACATTTTTCGTCATGTTTCCAACTTGCGCGCACAGTTTAAAACATTGTTTCATAATTTAATTCCATATTTAATATATAGCTTTTATAACATTTGAAAACTACTGTGAACCTAAAATTCTAAAAATTTCATGCTAAATTTTTATTTTATTTGGAGTTGAGTTTATAAAATGTATTTTATTAAAAAATTTGTAATGTTTCCGTTCTTAAAATTTTTCAATACTAAAATATTCATCAGATTGTTGGTTTCAGTTCGAAAATAGTGCCCATATAAAGATTCCATCACCTTTCAATTTCAATTATGTACCATTAGCCATTTTTTTAAATATCATGCGCGCAAGATGGAAACATAGCGAAATATTTTGTCACAAAGAGGATTAAATTACAAAAATATTTGTGGCAACACAAACTTTCTGGTTACTAGTTTCCAAAGCAGCTATATTATGTAGTCAGCTGTAAAAGGTTGGAAGTAATTGCTTTTAAAATAAATAAAATATCTCAATTCCTGCAACAGCCACATATTCGAAGATCATGAGGGGGTTTAAGGTGTATGAGTCCCCTTAAAGAGCAGAGCATTATTTCAAAGAATTAAGTAATACTTACTTTAAAATTTTCAGGATCGATTGACGCGAGTCAATCTAAATTGTAAATGGCTGAGATCAACGCGCACTTGCACACACACACACAAAGAAATAAATAGTGAAATATAACGCCGACTTCTTAGACTGCCTATGGGCAGTTGTTCACCTTAGGATCGAGGGTCTCCTGTTCCCTTGCTTTTTCGACGCAAGTTTTGAAGAAAGCTAACGGACGATAACGCTTTGGGACCATCGGAAAAATATTGGAGCGGAGCAGATGAAGATCGAACCAGCGCTGAAGAGAAAAGAATGGGTACTGTGGTGTTCAGCAGCTTCCAGAGCTAAGGAAACCAGGATGGTGATATGTTATCACGTTGCTAGGTAAAGTTACTCTCTCATTGTTTGCGCCGCCTGAGTAAACTTTGAAGTACGGCGTACATAGGGTATAAGCTAATATAGATGATGATGCACCTAAACTTAAAAAAAAAAAACAAGTGAGTTTTCGATAGCTCACTACATCTTCAATAATAACCCAGACGTGCTAGATCATATATTTGTTATGTCACCGAGATGTTGTTTGGTTTTGTTCCTCTGTGGAAAGTTACTCACTTATTGTATTTTCCAAATGTGTTACAGGCTAGATATTTACAAAAGAAAATTCGATTTACAGTAGCAGGTCATATTTAGGTGACGCAGCTGTTACACTTTTCACTTTAGGGTTGGAGTAATGGAATTAGCTTTGGAGTCGCATTAAAATCACGAGGCGTAAGATTTCCACAATAACTGAAACAGTTCGATCTAGGTTGTTGTCGAATGTCAGTTCAGTTTCAAACGGATCGGATTTGAAGTAAACTGTTTTAAATTAGTTACAACTTTCTCTGAATCCGAAAATCGTGAATTTATCACAGCCCTTCTTAAAATAATTGTCAAAGTAACTGAAAGTTTGAAAGATTTTCCCGTGAAATAAGTATTTTTTATTTCTACGAAACGCATCTCTAAATTCTGATGTACGCTTATTTACGTATGAGTTCCAGAAAGATAATTTGGATCTTTTTCGTTCCCATCGCAACAAGCGCCAAAGAAATTTCTACAGCAACACATATGCATCTAGGGTCCACCAGTGGCCAAGCGCCGAACGCTGGTAGTTTGGTTCGGCGCTCGTATCGAGCAGGCGCATGGGCGTTTTCGGGGTTTCCCCCCATGTGTAACACTAGCGTCTACATCCCAAAACGGCAGCCTGTGAGATAGGCGATTCTATTATTTTCATCGGGGAGTAGGGGAGTTAGAATGGTTTTCTGAGGAATGCAACGGCAGTGGACTATATGTTTGCTTACATTTGGAAGTTCAAAAAATTGCTAAAGTGGATTGCTTTAGTTTCTACGGTTACTTACAAGGAAATATTAGGCAGTTTCGGTTTCTTGATAGAGGGCAAATAGACAATTTACCTTTATAATCTGCGTTTATCTGTTTAAACTTCAGAAGATTTAAGATGAAGCGAATATATTTAATACAACGGAACACAATCTTAAGACTTATAAATCTTTTAAAAGACAACAGCAAATTTTTAAACATTACTGTAAAAAATATCTTCTCTTCTAATTATAATAAATAATGAGATAATGCATGAATGAATTGTTAATTATATGATAACTATGCATTTATAAAAAGTTTTTAATAATGAACTATAAATAATATTTATTGTTTTTTAAAAGATTTACAAGTCTTAAGCTTGCGTTCTGTTGTGTTAAATATATTCACTTCATCTTAAATCTTCTGAAGTTTAAACGGATAAACGCGGATTTATAAAGGTAAATTATCTATTTGCCCTCTATCAGCAACCCAAAAAAACTGCCTAATATTTCCCTGAAAGTAACCGCAGAAACTAAGGCAATCCACCTTTGCAATTTTCTGAACTTCCTAATGTAAGCTAACATCGTGCACTGCCGTTGGCGTTCCTCAGAAAACCATTCTAACTCCCCTACTCCCCGATGAAAATAATAGAATCGCCTCTCTCATAGGCTGCCGTTTTGGGATGTAGACGCTAGTCATGTGTAACGGGTATACGAGCCAGTTTCCTCAGAAAGTTCTCCCCGAAAGAATCCTCCTTTAGGGATATAGCCCTCGAGTGCTTTGCCATAATCAAATAAACCAAACCGCCGCCCAGACGGTACAGTGGTTAGGGAAGCCTGGCTGCGATACCGAAGGGCCCGTGTTCGAATACCAGAGAAGGCATGGAAAATTGTCTGTCCCTTCAGAGGAGGTAACGGTGGTCGCCTGTTAGGTGCCTCCGCAATAAAGAAACCACCACATCTGGCCTTAAGTGGGGTCGATGCCGATATAGGCAAGTATCCGCCATTGGGGGAAGGGACAATATTCATCAAAGTTTACCTACTGGCGACCATGAAATCTTGCATTGTTTTTTCTCAAATAACAGCGTTGTTTTCAAACTACGCATTGTCAATAAAAATGTTTAAAGCGTGTCACACTATTTCAATTTATATGTATGTATATTAATATTGAACCTAAAATGTGTATTTCTTAATTAAAAAAGATGTAGGTACTTTTCCGTTCGCCAGCGCAAATCTCGCCAAACAGACTTTATTGGCGACAACATACTACAGTATACACATAAAAAAATGTTAACGAATGTTACTTCTACGAAATTTTTTTTTGAAGGTATAAACATTTTAATATCGTTTAAAATTTTGTAAAAAGCCAATAAATAAAGACAATAAATTTGTCAAAAGACGTTAATTTAAGAATTTACTATGCTTTCGGTTCAACATCCTGATTCGCCGGTTCATATCACGTAACTCAAATGATCTGATCTCAGGTAAACTACGCTACAAAAATCTAATTCTCTCAGTAATTATCTACATTCATTACAAGTTAAATCAAAATTTGGAACACAAGTTTAAATGTAAGTTAGGCGACATATCTTTCTAGAAAAAATTGTTTGGAGCGTATTGTCCTGTAACGGAAAAGATTCATCAATTTTCAGTACATGTACATATTCATTAATTTTTCATCATTCATCAGTTTTTAATATATATATACATTATATTTCACACATATATTCCAGGCGGAATAGTATTGTTACTCTAAAAATATATTTGAGCGATATCGCTTACACTATTTCACTAAGATGTTTCACCAAGAAAGCCAAATTTTTTTAAATTACCATGAGAAAGTGTTCTTTTCATGATTTTTAATACCAAAATGCCCATGGTACTTTATATCTAGAATTATGCAGATATAAAGCACTTTTAATCTATTGCTTTAATTTCGTGGACATGCTTCAATATGCACGTATAATATATACGCTTTTACATAGATTATTAAATACTCAGGCCCTATTAATATATTGCCTAGAATATTATATACGGCTTTGCCAGTCAGAGGGTTTCAAATTGTTTAAACTTGTTATAAAATGTTGAACATGTGATACTGAGTCATTGTCACTTGCGATCTATAAGAGAACCGAATAATTTTGTCACCAATTTTAAAGTAAAAAAATTAAAAGTTTCATAATTCCATGGGATTGTTTCTCATGTGCAATATAAGTAAATGGCACTGAATACTAATTTGTCTTATTTTTTATGTTTCTCTGTTTACTTAACTTTGTATCAAAAACGTATCGTATTTAAAGCAGCTGTAATTATTTTCCTTGTATAACATACCAGGCAATGCACATAAGGCGGCCTTACATTCATACAATCCATTTATTTTTAGCCAGTTTTAAATTGTTGTCACCAAACATTATCGCTCTGCATTATATTGAAGGAAATTAAATAATGAAGAATCTACATGAATGTATGTATGCTTCTCGCATTGTAATAAAACAACGGTACCTGGAGCCATCCAATTTTGAATAACGTAGTCCTTCCCCGAACATGGGCACTTGGAAGCCAGAATTTTGAATTTCGAATTTGCTTTATTATCGATTTCAAATTTTGTAAAAGTTTAACGAATTTTTGATTAAAAAGAGGCACGATTTCAAAGCGAGTAGTGGCAACATTACTCATGAATGAAAAATCTTTAATCTCCATCCATCTTTTATCCGATACGGTTCTACAAGGAAAATAATTAAAGCTGCTTTAAATACGATACGCAAGACTGTCTATCGGAAATTCTAAAGCTATATAATTTAAAATATTTTGTGATTTGGTTGTCGAATTGAATTTCATGTGGCGTAAGCCCAAGTATGTGTTATTTAATAAACACATAAAACTTTAACAATAAAAAGACACACAAAAAAAAGCTTTGTAATGCCATCTTAGTAAGTAAACTGAGCATAGATATGATGACCTGAGAAAAGACTGAAATAAATAAATAAATAAATAAATATATAAATATATATATATAATAATAAAATTCCATAGTCAAGAGGGCCCACCAGCGGCCGAGCGGTAAGGACGCTGATCACTGGTAGTTCGGTCCGAGGTTCGAATCCCGCGAACGCGCTGGCTGCATGGGTGTTTTCGTGGTTTTCCATGTGTAACGTGTATACGAGCCAGTTTCCCTTAGAAAGTCCTCCACGAAGGCATCCCTCCCCTTAGGCAGATAGCCCTAGTGTGCTTTGCCATGATTAAATACACCACCATAGTCAAGAATACACTTAAAATTTTAACTGTATGTTCTTTTCATTTTTAATGGCGACGTTCTCTTATTTGAAAGTACGTGGAATTAAATCCACAGCTCCGTAGTCAAGTTGTTTTTTCCCTCCTTCTCTACACGTACAGTTATAGAATGTTCTGGAAATATTTTAAAGCGAACTGGATTGGCTGACGAGGCTGACGTCATTTCTTCGAAGCTCCGCCTTTCCAGAGGCTATAAAAGGACTCGCAAAAGAATATCGGGGCTTTTTCTTAAATGTCACGATGCAGTAAACTTCATACAAAAAGTTATTAGTAATTTTTTTTATTTACTCCGGATATCTGATTTTGTAACTGCTATTTCTCCTGAATAATAAATGCATCCTGTTTTTTAAACTTATCGTCTGATAATTTAAGCTACGACTACATTTATGATTCTTCACAAATCTATTTATTACGGACAAAAGCTGGTACATCATATATATATATATATATGCCAACATTTAACGATACATCGGGAGTTCTAAACGTATACTGCTATACTGCTTTTAAAAATTTTGTAATTTTGCCGTTGAATTGTATATGGCGGAAGTGCGGAGAAAATGATGCTTAATAATAAAGCTAAAAAGATAAAAAAAAAATGGATGACAACGTAAAAACAAACTTAACAAACCCGTTTGGGCGACCGTTAAAATCTGAAACTTTTCCGTTTTT